AAAAGGATAATGATAACCACATGTTTGGGAAGCCAGAGCTCCTTTTCAGAGTAGGCTTTTGGAAAGAGGCAAAGGCACCTGAACTGAGACCATGTTCCCCTCTTCCCATGAAGCCCAATGTCCCCCTCTGGGTCCTGCAAATTCATGCCCAAAGATGAAGGCGGCAGAGAAGAGAAAAGGAAGGGGAAAAGACTCAAGGAAGACTGGGAGAGAACAAGACTTTCCCCACCACCTGCAGAACCCCCGGCCTCCTATAGCCTTCTGATGGCCTGGAGGAGGAATCCGGAGGGAAAGAACAATCACTACTCTGTGGACCCGGGAACTTCCCGGGGAAAGATTTCAACACTCCAACTCCCCAGGCAAACTCGGAGGTAGCTTGTTCTTTTCTGGCCCCAGGCCCCACCAGGTGGCTTCGGATGGCAGTGGCCACCTGCCTGTTACCTCTTTCCCAGCACATGTCTCTCTCAAGGGAACCAAACTGCAGGCAAAAATTCCAGAAGTTTCACTACAGTAAAAGGAAGAACGGAGGGTGGGTGCTGAGGGCATTTCTAGGTTAAGAATGTGTTTTCACCCTGAACTTGTGTGGCTGCAGAAACAAAGCAGAGGCCCCATGGCCCCTTGGGAGTAGAGCGCTCTGATGACCCACTGCACTCAGAAGGCAGTTTTAAGGAAGGCAGCAAAGAATAGCAAGGAGGCTTGCCCCCACCATATGAGGGATTCTCAACCAGGGGTGAGATGGCAATGTCTGGGGACAATCTTGGTGGTCAAAACTGCAGGGAAGAGGGACTGCTATTGGCATCTAGAACCAGTGATGCTGAAGGAAATCCTACAATGCCCAGGCTGGCCCCACAGCAGGAGCTCTGTAGTCCTAAATGTCAGCAGTTCCAAGGCTGAAAAACCCCACACTAGACGAACCCACCTCCCAGCTCCTGCCACCATCGAAACAAATCCAACAATCCTACCTCAAAAGAAAATTTGCTGTCCCTCGGACTGAGCAGCTACCTTACCCCGGGAGTCCACTTCTGGTAAGCAAATTCCACATCAAGCATCAAGCACCATCTTCAATATCTGGCTGATTTCCTAAACACGCTCATTTAAGGATACTCCCCAGGACCCAAGTGAGTAGATTCTTTTGAATCCAAGGGAAGAAAGGGGCGTGCACACACACGCAGGAGCCACCATTTCTTAAAAAATAATCTCCCTAGGTGTCAGGTAAAGGCACTGACCAAAAATAAAACTAAATAAATAAATAAATCGAACTACAGTTAGAATGGCTCAGACAGCTCCAACACAGTTCACAGAGAGAGAGAGAGAGAGAGAGAGAGAGAGAGAGAGAGAGAGAAACTTGATGAAAACCAAAAATACATTTGTCCCTGGAGCTTTCCCATAGCTAAAAACAGTTCCGTTGCTCTAAGATGCTTCCATGGCATATAGTTATCTTTGATATTTATGTATAAAATGTCATAAACATATAACAAACGGAGAAATACCAATAGAGAGTTKGATGAATAAAAATGACCCCCTATGTAAGCACCACTGCGGTCCAGCAAGGGGACCTGGCGTGCAGTGTCTTTCCTCCAGGCTTTCCAACCAGGGACACAGAAGAGAGCCCTCAGTTATTCTGACCAAGTTCCAACATGACTCAAGGACTGAGATTTATTTTATGTACTTGCCATGCATGGCAACATGTCCTCCGGAGAAAGCTTAGGCCTCAGTCGAATGTGTTCAGAGCAGCGACCTCAAAATGACCAGATTTGGGAGGACGATGAGGACCAYGTTAATTCATAAAGATCTCTGGAAGACCAGGCCAGCAGCACCAATACTGGAATCTTGGGAATGGTGGGGAAAGACCAGGTGGGGCCCAGAGAAGCCRGAGGAGTTAAAATCTAACTCAGCACTCACCTTCCCGTGGTGCTCTGGGAATTATTGATTGCTCCCGAACCATCAAACATAGATAGTCCTGCTACGTGACCTCAGTGCAAAAACTCAACAAGACAGTGTGTTTATGGTGGCAAGCAGAGCTTCTCACACACAGGAGATGCACCAAAAATACTGGGTTCCCTTTTCTCCCTTGCCCACACACAAACAGGCAAAGTGATAAAGGTCAGGACTTTCCAGTGAAATCATTTCACTATAAATATTCCTGATGCCTCAAAGTCTCTTAAGATGTTTTGGGAAGGTGACAATACAAGCCCACTGTCAACTTATCCTGTTCCAGGACCCAGAATTTTACCACCCCACCCTCTCCTACTCACATCCCTGTCCCTCCCCCAGCCTATGGCACAGCAAATGGCCCAGTGGGCTATCAGGAAAAAACACCTCACACCCCACTAGGAAGGCCCCGTCACACCTCTTTGAAGATGAAAAGCAGCAAGGTGTGTTTATTTGTACTCTGGGTGCACGGTCTCATCTACCCCGGGTTGGGCTGTGCTGGGCCTTGTAACTACTTAGCTAATTAAAAAATAAATCAAAATGACCCCTCATGCCATGAAGCAGCTCTTTCCAGGAGAAAAGGTCAATACCCACACTCCCAGGAGCACACAGAGGGGGGAAAGGGAGCCTTTTCACTGACAGAAGGGGAATGTCAGGGAGACTCGGCAAAGGTCACCCAGGAGGAGGCCGCCCATCCATCTGGCATGGCCACCATCAGAAATGGCTCGAGGCACACACTTAAACCCACCAAGTCCACACACATGCAGGAAAACTGGACATCAGACACTGTGACTGGGGCTGAGCTCTCTAGCAGGATACATTAAAATATAATAACCGAAATCAATGTTTCATTTCCCTAACACAAACAATTAAAACAAAGGAAGAAACAAACACACACATACACACACACACACACACACACACAGAGGATGAAAGCGTCTGAGAAGGTTCCTGAACAACAAAGGGTTCTCAATTGCTTCTGGAATGCATGTGGCCTTCCAGCCTCACAAAGACCCAGGGCTCAGACTGGGGCTCAACTTTGACCTCAACTTTCTTTTTACAGACTCTCAAAAGGAGGCAAAAATCCAAAGTCTGGCTTTTACAATCTCTCTTGTTTTATCAAATTCTCAGAAGAGCACTGAAGTATAGGGTATGTATGGGATAGGTTAGGGTGTCTGGTCTGGCTATGAACCCCAACACTGGGAAAAATGACCAGCCCTGCTTCTGGCAACATGTGGGTCAAAATGGAACTCATGTTTAAAAGATGATGCTTAATGTAAAATGAAAAATGCACACTCCAACCCACCTAGACGTTTCCTGTAAAACAGCAACCACACAGGTAATGCAGAGCCCACAGATAATGGACAACCTCCACCAGGGGACAGTTGGGCTGTTCCTTCCCTCCCCCTAGTACCCTCCCACTACGACTATTTTATTTATTTTAGCTCTGTGCTATATGTACACACATACTACATAATCATTGCTGCTAGGGAGGGACACAATTACCTTCCCAATGTTTTCTAGAGACATAGATTCAACTCAAGCAACCCAGTACYAACTGGAGACGCAACAAATAACAGTGTCCACTGACCCACTAGCTATACACACAGGAGAGTCCAGACTGTCCTTCGGTATTATCAAGGGATACGCCTCAACTGTGAGAATCAAGTATATGACTCCAGGCCTGTCTTCATATCTGAGATGCCCTGGAAATGGGTCTGCCCTGGAAATGGGCCTCCAAATAATTCACACCTGCTGGCAGATGCCCAACACCCCTCAGAACTCTTTCCTCAAAGTGGCCAATAGCTCGGGGAAAACASGGCACCTTGACCCAAATCTGGTTTTAACCCACAGCAGCCACAGCAGGTCCAGCCCCTCACTGGAAGTGGAATAAACCCGCAGATGTCTAAATGGAGTCTCAGAGGAGTGGGGATGATGTCATAGGTGTGGGGCGGGGGTTCGAGGGCTGCCCAGCAGATTCTGATGATGGTCAGAGCCCAGGACTGCTAGGAAAGGCGCAGACTTCCCTTCAAAGCACTTACATCTCCAAGGGACAGCTCAGAATAGAGTGTCTTCCCCCAACCAGCACATMACCAGACACATCTCAACAGGCAAGTTGCTAGAAGCATTTGGTAAAAATCACACAAATTAGAGATGAGGACGGTACAAATGCTGGACGAGCAGCTTTCTGCTTAAGAAAACTCCTGGGCCCTGTCACCCACTTTCTGGGCATCAGCTGCCCCGAAATAAACATGGGGGGGGGGGCAAAAGCGGGCGGGGCACTGAGAAGGGGCTGCTGACAGCTGAGGCAGGCGGGCAGGGGCTGAGGAGGAAGGGCTCCAAGCTGGAATTCGGAGCGTGCCCACATCAGCAGAAAAGTTCCTGGGAACAGCACGCTATCTGGGAGGAAAGGAGGCTCGCTGCTCTCCCGGCCCTCAGGATACACAGGCCAGAGCCCCGGGGACAAACGACTTAAATCAAGGTCGGGTTCCCAGGGTGAGTGGAGAGAGCTAATAATTCCCAGGTCCGGCCCTGCTTCATCTCACTCTGCCCAAACCAAACCCGGTCCCAGGGAGGAGAGGGAGGAAGCGGCGATGGCCCGCGCGCGGTGCAAGTGGGGAGACTGAGGCACCGGTCCACGCCGGAGACTCCGGGAGAGGCCCTGGGGAGGGCAGCGCGGCACCGAGTGCCCGSGCGTCTGGGAAGACGCGATCAGGGCAGAGTTCTCCCTTCCCCTCCCCTCCTCCGCTCCCCAACACACACAACACACTCACAGACACACTCGAGCTACGCCCAATCCGGGCGGCCGCCGGGCTCCCCGCGCGGGGCTGCACACAAAGCCCCGCCCGCGTACAGCGACACACGCCACCCGGCGCGCTCGCCCACACAATAGCACCGCGCGCACCCCGCGCGGCCCCTCGGCGGGGTCCCGGCCAGCTCGGCGCCGGGGTCCGCCCTCCGCGCACACCCACGCCCGCAGCCACGGCCCGCGCGCGGGGAGACGACGCGATCGCGCCCGGCCACCGGCCCGCGCCCCGCGGCAACTTCGCCGCGCRCCCCCCACTCACCCGCGGCGCTGCTCAGCAGCAGGCACAGCGGCCCCAGCAGCCACATGGCGTGGCCGCCGCTCCCGCTGCCCGGCGCCGTCGCTGCCCCCGCGGCCTCGGCGCTGACCCCGCCCCTCGCGCCGGCCCCGCCCTCTGCCGGCCCGCCCCCCGCCCCTCCGGCCAGGCTCCCAGAAGTTTTGCCAGCGCCGGGCTGCGCGTCGCAGCCCGCGTCCCGCCCGGTGTCCCCTCTCCAAGGGGCCGCGGAAGGGGCCCCGTAGGGTCCGACCTTTCCTGCTCGCTGCCTCCGCCGTCTCATCGCGGGGWCCTCCTCACTGGCCTGGCTCTGCGCTCTGCTCGGGTTTCTCCCCCTTGCCTCCTCTTTTTTCCCTACATCTTCCGAGGATGCGGCGCTCGCCATCTCCCCAGACCCTCAACTTGAGTTCTTTACTCAACTACAAAAGAAGTGCACTTCAGGGAGGAAAAGAAAAAGTTGGAACAAAGAGCCAGTGCTTCTGAGAAAATATGTAGTTTATTTTTAGTAGTGTGGAATACAACCAGTGCTTTTCAAACTTTAAGATGCATCAGACACACACTCGGGGACTTAGTCGAAACGCTGATTCTGATTCGGTAGGTCTGGTGTAGGGTCTGAGATTTTGCATTTCTAATAAGCTCCCGAGTGATAAGCTCCCAGGTGATTCAGAGGCATATGGTGCTGGAGCCACAGGTGGAGTGAGAAGCTAAGACCCTGTGTACACAATGTGGCCACTTGGGTTATTTCACCAGCCTGGTGTCCATCTTGACYAGGGGAATGTTTGGGCCCGAATTTGCAGAAAAGGAAGGTAAATATAAAGGCAAACCACACAGATGCCCAAAGATCAGCTGCTCCAAGTAATTGGAGCTTTCAAATTGCCCTGGTGAAAAGTCCCGAAGGATTTAGATGACAAGAATAAACAGGACAACACTTTTGTGCTCCAGTCTCCTCCCACCCTAAAAAAAAAAAAAAAAAAAGAGAAAGAGAAAAAGAAAAGAAGGAAAAGAACAAAGGGGGAAAAAATCTAGTGCAAATATTGTAATTGCCAAGAACTAAAAAACAACCCAAATAAATTTTCCAAATGTCCATTAATCCAAAAGCAAGTGGACTCATAAATTGCAATATATCATTTAATGCAGCAATGTGGTTGAATTGCAAAAGATGCTAAGAAGAATTCAGCCACAAAGAGTTGCATCTTATATTTTATGTATAAGACATATGTGGGGGCCAAAAGAAACACAAAATTTGGAGGGCCAAAATCAGAACAGTAGTTACCAGTGAGGTGGGGGGAGGGGCGAGTACAAAGGGACAGTGGGACTCTTCTGTGTCTACATATTTGTGAAAACTTATAAAACTGCATCCCTAAACTCCACCCCTAAAAAGGGTGAAATTTTTCTGTGTATAAATTGTCCCTGTCTGGAGGAGTCAAGAAGGTGTGGGTGCTGAGGCTTACTGATCACTTATGTGGAACTTATAAAAGATTCCTGCATCCATTGCACTAGAGAYAGCTTCAAGGATGCTGAGATTCGATGACTTTATTTTTTAATTGYCTGTTGTAGTGTGGAAATGTGAAGGCTAATGTAGATCAGGCCAAAATTTAAAAATATCAATGATGGCTCAAGGTTACAAGAAAATGTGATGTGATGTGGGAAAATTCAGCAAGTTTTATTTCACAAAGTAGTTTGTCAAGTATGAAAGACATAAATAAATTTTCCAAAAGTTTAACATTTGGAAKTTTTATCCTGGGACTGGTGAACACTAAGGAGACCATTCTGTGGGTTTCCGGGAATTTTATGYAAAATTTTGAGCATATGTGGGCATTTGCATTTTGCCAGAAAGGATATTGAGAGGAGGCCCCCTCAACTTTGATAACAGTACCCAAGGATGCAAGTAATTTCTCCTATTGCTGCTCATTTTCCTGCTAACATTAGGAATATGGAAAGTCAGTGGAGTTGATCCAGAGCTGTTCTTGCTTCCTTAGGTTCCTCTAAGCACAAGAATTCTGGGAACAATTTAGTGTGCCTGTCTCCACAGGCCCCCACCATGTCTCCTTTGTCTTCCTCCCTCTCTGCCTTTCTCTCTCTCCTCTCTCACACATGCACATGGGTGTATGGACACACACACACACACACACACACACACACACACACACACACTACACCACACTTCTTTTCAATATACTAGTGTCTTTGAAATAATTTAGACACAGATAAATCCCTCTTTAAGTTCAATTGCTGTTTTTATACTAAATCATTCCAAACCTCCTCACCATATATATACCTGGCAGGAAGTATAACTATTATTATGGGGGGGAGTCGATAAGGGGGTGCCAGGGATTGAACTCAGGGGCACTCGACCACTGAGCCACATCCCCAGCCCTATTTTGTATTTTATTTAGAGACAGGGTTTCAGTGAGTTACTTAGTGCCTCGCTTTTGCTGAGGCTGGCTTTGAATTCGTGATCCTCCATTGTGTAGTGTGTAAATCAGGGCAAACATATCTATCTCCTAAACAACGATCATTTCTTTATGGTGAAAACATTCAAAATTCTTTCTTCTGGCTCTTTAAAAACACATATACAGTAAACTATCATTTGAAACCAATTTTTTTACAGGGTAAGTATCCCTAACCTGAAAGTTAAAATCTGAAATGCTCCAAAAGCCAAACAATTTTTTTATGTGCGTGTGGTGCTGGGGATTGAACCCAGGGCCTTRTACATGTAAGGCAAGCACTCTACCAAGTAAGCTATACCCCCAGCCCCACACCAAAACTCTTTGAGTGTTGACATGATACCACCAATGGAAAATTCCACAAATTATTTAAAAATATTGTATAAAACCACCTGTGGGCTCYGTGTATAAAGTATATATGAAGCAAGTGAATTTGGTGTTTAAACTTGGGTCATGTCCCCCTAGGTATCTCATTATGTACGTGCAAAAATTCCAAAATCTAAAAAATTCTGAATCTCAGACACCTGTGGTACCAAGCATTTCAAATACGCCATATCAACCTGTGCCTTACCACTCTCCTCTCTCCTCTTCCCTGGCTCTTTACAAGTCCATCAGAAGCACAACACACTTAGTATCCAGGGAGTGTCATAGGTTCCAGTGCTAATTGTGTTCAGGTTCTTTGAGCTAATAGTCACCTTTTTTTTAAGGTTGGTTTAATTAAAAAAAAAAAACAGAATACTTCATGTCTCTTATTTACCAAAAGGCAGACACAGGGACCTTGACTGAGAGCTGCTAATGGCTCTCTGTCACCAAAGGAAGGAMGGAAGAATTTTCTCTCTCTCTGTGGTGTTCGATATAATGCTCTGTGGCTCCCTACATTTTCTCATTTATTCCTCAGAACAGCCCCAGTCACACTAGCCTTTCTGTAAAATGAGGATAATAAGAACACTGGCCCTTAGGGGTGCTGTCAGAATAAAAAGAGATAGGGTATGTAACCTCTTTGGCACAGTGCCTTATGCACAGGAATTGCTCAAGAGAAATTAGCTGTTATTGTGGTATGACTCACCCGGCCAGAACCCCACTGTGATAGGCAGCCTCCAAGATGGTTCTCAAAGACCTTCCTGTGCTGAATGCAACTGTCCTACATGACCAATGGATACTGTGGAAAGAACAGTGGGTCACTTCTATGGCTGGGTCACAAAGGACATGGTGGTTTCTTCCTTGCTGTCTTTGATCACTTGCTCTGAAAGAAACCAGCCACCATGCTATGGGGATGCACAAGCCGCCCCGTGCACAGGTCTCCTGAGAAGGAACTGATGTTCATGGCAGCTCACCGTCCATCAGAGCCAACCATCTGGGCAGTAGATCCTCCAGGCCAGCCTAGCCTTCAGAAGACAACCCTCAGCCAACATGTACCTGACTTTCACGTGAGCTGTGATGGAACCCCCTGACCCACAGGAACTGACAGATAATAAATGTTCAGTGTTGTTTTAGGTCACTAATTTTTGGGATAATTCTCCATGCAGCAGAAGCTAACTAGCAAATCTCCCTTCAAGGTCATCCATAGGGTCGACTTAAAGATTCATAGAACCTTTTCAATTAGTAAACAAATGGGAAACACTGAGACTTTCCCCCAGTGCAGAGTAAGCCCTCTGTAGATGCTAGTTTTGTTACTGTCATTTCCTCTGTTCCTAAGCACCTAAAACCCAGACCTTTCAAACATTCAAACAAAAGCATTTTATTTTTTTTTTTATTTTTTTTAAAGAGAGAGAGAGAGAATTTTTAATATTTATTTTTTAGTTCTCGGCAGACACAACATCTTTGTTGGTATGTGGTGCTGAGGATCGAACCTTGGCCGCACGCATGCCAGGCGAGCGCGCTACCRCTTGAGCCACATCCCCAGCCCCAAACAAAAGCATTTTAAATTTGAAGAAGAAAAGAGTAGAAACATATTGGCACTAACAAAAGATCAAAAGGCGTGGGGACACTAAAAGGATCCATAAAAAAAAATTGACAAAAAGGTTATTAAAAACGAGTACCAGTACTTCATTTGCTTCATGAAGAGCAGGCAGAGAGACAGCAAAATGAGGACTCCCTCCCTCCTCTTCCTATCCCCCACATCTCACCAGGAAACCACAGAGTCAAGTGATGAAGAGAATGTGAGCTCTGAGGTGGCTCAAACACCTGGACTCCTGAGTTGGGCCACTTACTAGCTGCCTGAGGCTCAGAAAGTCACCTTATCTCAGCATCTCACTGTCCTGTGAGAGGGCCATAATGACTGTACCCACATCCTAAGCGTTTTAGTCAGCTTTTTYGCTGCTGTGACTTAAAGACCCAACCGGCACAACTGTACAGGAGGAAAAATTTATTTAAGGACTCATGGTTTCAGAGGTCTCAATCCATAGACAGCAGGCTCCATTTCTCAGGCCTCAAGGCGAGGGAAGTAGCTCACAAGGCGATCAGGAAGCAGAGAGAGACTCTACTCTCGGGTACGAAATATATTCCGCACAGCCAGGACCCCGATGAACCACTTCCTCCAGCCACACTCCACCTGCCTCYAGTTACCACTCAGTTAATCCCACCAGGGATTCATTCACTGATTAGATTAAGGCTATAGCTCACAATCATTTCTCCTCCAAACCTGCTTGCATTGTCTCACACATGAGCTTTTGGGGGACACCACATCTAAACAGAAC